GGGTCAAGGTTTAGGGAAGGGTGTCGGGGTTTGGTCTAGGACGTGGGTGCTTGGACCTGGAGGGGTCCGGTATATCTGTCACACCTGGGGGATGGGAGTTTAAACTTCCAAGCGGTGGCTGCTTGGGCTCTGGTAGTGGGTGTAACAGGAACATACATATTTGTAACATAGTGCGTAAACAATGTGCATAAGACATTTTACAAGCATGCATTACGATAGGTACATTTGGTGTTGTAACAGAACAATTCATAAGGTGGTTAAGTCATGCTTTGTGCTTTATAGGTAAACCTTTGTAATGGGTGTGCTAGGTATCTTTCTTGCCCATCCATTTTTGGGCTTGTTATTGTTTAGAAATAGGGTTGGGCCTGTTGCTTATTTTCTCATCGGGGGGTGGTTTATTTACACCACCATCGGCAGGTTCGGTTGTAAGCGTTTAGATTTTCAATCCGCCCTGTTGGCCCCTTATGGCGACGTAATTGCTTGCCGCAGGGCTATGGGTGCATTAGGGGTGGTTATCAGTGGCCAAAAGCCATAGTGTCTCCCTCCCGTCCAGTCTTCTCTGCTAATGCCCAAGCGTGCTTTGGTGCCATTATATTGTGGTTCAAGCCGCGTTACCAGAGGGTTAGCAGCCCTATGTAGTAGCTATGTAGTAGTTTTAAAAAATGTATGGCCCTCTGACAAGATTTTCAACAAGGTTATATGCACAATCATTTGTTAATTCAAACAAAATAAAACAGTAACATTGGTAGGCTTACTTATTGTATATGCTTATCGTAGAGTGCTTGTCATTGAATGTTTACGGCAAGTTATGCCTTAAATCATACAGTCCAATTAGACCATTTGGGGCCTGCGGGTCTGTGTGGAAGAGGGTAACGGCCCTTTTGATGTCGAGGCAGGTAGCCCCCAGTCCGTGAGCATCTTTAGGCCTTCCTCCGGGGTGGAGAAGGACTTTGTTTCTCCATTACGTGTGAGTATAATTTTTGTTGGGTAGCCCCATCTGTACCGAATTCCTTGATCTCGGAGTGTTGCCGTAATCTGTTGGAACTCCCGTCTTCGTCTGAGTGTTGCCACAGAGAGATCCGTCATGATGGGCACCGTGGGGTAATCCTCATGCGGGTTCGGTTTTATTTATTTATGATTTTTTTCTGAGGGCCAACTCCTTGATGTGGAAGTAGTGCGCCCGGAGAAGGACGTCTCATTGAGCAGAGTCTGGTAAGTAAAAATTGTGTCGCTTTTTACCCTGTGGACCCTGTCGATGAGGAGCATGTCCGCTGGGATGCCTGGGGCATATGAGTGGAGGAGGCCTCTCACATAGACCTGTAGGTCATCTGGGAATACCGACTCTGGGACTCCTCTTAATCGTAGGTTGTTTCGTCGTGCCCTGTCTTCGTAGTCTGCCATGTGTACTTCCATTGCCTCTAGTTGTTGTTGTAAATTGTTTAGGTGGTCTTTTGTTTCTGGTTGCTGAGATGTTAAGTCCTGGCATTGTTGCTCCACGTGGGAGGTTCTGGAGGAGAGGTCCCGTACCTCCTGCTTAATTTGGTCCGCCGTTGATTTCCAGGTGGAAATCAGTTTTTCTGCCATAGCCTCCATGGCCCTCTCAAAGTAATCTCTTGTGAGGCCCTCTGGCGAACGGGGTTCTTCTTCCGTGTGAGAGGCGCTTTCCGTGTTGTAGTTTTCGGCGCCATCTTGCGTGGTTAGCCGTGCGGCCTCAGATGCTGTTGCTCCTTTTTGGCCGAAAAAGCTCAATTTGTCCGCTTTTGCAGCGGTTTTCTTAGGTTTGGATTGCGCCATTGCAGGTTATGAATGACATAAAATGGATGATGCAAAAAAAAAAAAAATCATAAATAAATAAAACTTGGTGAAATGTACTTTATAAGGAAAGATTGGAATATTTATATTGTATAGACTGTCGAAAAACAGGTTTTGTAGAAGTATTTATACTGTCCAATTTTTGTCTTATTTACACCCAGTTATAGAATTTAGATAATTGTACCACAACTATGTTTCTTTTAGAGAAAAAATCAACAGTTCAATAAATATTGAATGAATAAGATAAACAATATAGCTTGCCACATTTTTACAAATTTCTGGTGATGCTTTGAAAGGAAAAAAATGAAAAAGAACCAAGATTAACACAAACACACATACACCGCTACAAACACGTGCACACAACGCCCTCCACACACATACAAAAACACGTAAGAAAAATTGTGTTTACTGTTTCTTTGTTTATGAATTATTAAGATAGATAGAGGATGTGGTAAACAGGGACATTTTGATGTATTCACGTGCTGTTTTCTCTTTGTTTCATATTAGAAATGTTTTTAGAGCACTAAAATCCCATTGATTTGTTTTTTTTAAGCCATGTGCTGGTCTCTGGGTATGTATGCAGAACATAGATATATATTTAGACCTATGCACACACATATACGTGCTTTCCGTTAACCTGATAACCTGACCAAAGCCTTATTCAGATGTCTGAGAAAATGGTCCAATAGCCGGGGAATTTGGCTGATTACAATCAGCAAGGCTTTTTTTTTTTTTTATATGTCAACTGCCTTCTTTGTGCAATTAAGAAGGCCATGGCTCTGTCTTTATCTTCGGCTAGCCAGAAAACAAACCGTCTGAACCACAACAGTTGAATATGTGAATAAAGAATAAGTAGGGCAATGGAAGACCCTGACAAACATAGCTGTGGTTAGTGGCTTGTAGGAGGAGAATGGGAAAGAGGGATGAAACTCACTTTCTAATCAATGTGATAATCAATGCCACATGTAACCTCGCTTTCTTTCTGACTTCTTTTTCTCCCCGGGCTTTATTATATTTTCTCTATTTTTTCTCTGTCCTACTTTTCAATCTGGTAATTTTATTAAATATATATATATATACATATAGAAAAAAATATCTGTACTCAGTCTCTCAATAGATTATTCCCTTTATTTCTCCATAATAAAGTTAAAGTTGCATAGTCGACGTTTCAATTACAGTTCGGAACTTTCATCAGGAAAAAAAAAAATCAATTTGTCTAGCACCAGGGAAAAAGATATTACTATAGCTCTGAGTGAGTTTTTTGTGTGTGTTCTTGTGTAGGTTGCATATATGCCTTTTTTCATATTCGAGATCAGGCATAGGCAACCTTCGGCACTCCATATGTTTTGGACTACACGTCCCATGATGCTTTGCCAGCACTATGGGTGTTAGAGCATTAGGGGGATGTAGTCCAAAACATCTGGAGTGCTGAAGGTTGCCTATCCCTGTTCTAGAATCTTGAATGTAAGTGCATATACTCTTAATCTGTCTCATCTTTTTCAAATTCTTCCCCTTCTAGTACCATCTCTTAACTTGTTTGTTTTTCTCTCTTCTTTGATCTTTGCACAGAATATTTAGGACTCTTCGGAAGAATGGTGACTAATTTATTTATTTTTTCCCTACTGGAAATCAGACCTGTCTATCATCTGCATTCATGTTATTTAACCCCTGTATCACAACTCAACTTTGAATTAGATGTCTTGTATTATTCAGAAATGCTTTTGATTACAGAAAGTGAGTTTCTTCCGAAAGCTTGTTACAAATTCTGTTACTCCAATAAAAAAAAAAAGTATTACAAGATATTGATGTCATCTGCAATTAGTTATATATAATATAACCTTGCAGATATGTCCAATGGTCTACATACGTTGCATATTATTCTGGTATTCAAAGTGTTAAGAGGGAGCCGACTGTCGGATTTCATAATACACGTCAGCATCCACACATATATATTCCTTATACTTTATTTCAGTTACACAGTTGTATGTGTGTGTTGCCTTCATCAGACTAGTTCCATGTGTGTTTGTGGCATTTCTCACAGTCAACTAATTAAAATGTCCTATTTGGCCAGTGTACCATAGTTCGTTAATTTGGCTGAGGCCACCGCGTGCAAGTTAGGATAGCATTTACAGTAAACAATTTTAAAATACACGTTTTATTTCTGTCCAAATAACTAATTGGATCCAAATGTGTAACAGATACATTTGAAAACTCCAATTTTTAACGAGAGGCCAAATTTAGCAAAATATTAACGGGTTGGTCTAAATCTGAAAACCTGAGTTTAAATCATCTGAGTGCTATTTTACAACAATGGACCCATATTCATCTTACATCACTTTACCTGGTGTGTACATATTTACGGTGCTGGATTTTCCAGCAGTGGGCACATATTTAGGGGACATCACTTCAAATTGTGGATTGCTCTGATTCAAGTTCACTATACTTATTTTTTTGTCTGGCTTTTTAATTAAATTTTTTTTTAATGATTTACTTTGTTTAAAATAAAACAATGTTTAAATGTTTACCATTGTTTTACTTCTGTTTATGCATTATGCTTGTAATAATATAGTCTGGCCTCTGTTACATCTCTTCATTAACATCTATATATCAATTTGCAATTTTACAAACTCAGGTTAACATTGAGTATTGACTCTTTCATGAGCAATGAGCTGTCTTCAGGTCCCCACATCTCTATAATCCAGGCTCCTTGAGAAATATACCCTCTCCAACTTCCAACATCCCCTGTAATTCACATCACTGATACTACTTCAGATATTTTTCAGGCTCTTATGTTGAGATTTGGAAGGTGAAAATTATTTCCCACAATTCCACATTTTCGTGGTTTGGTGATTAAAACCCCAGATAATTTCATCATTTTAGATATGTGCATCTAGTCTATAACTTCTCTGTCTGTGGAGAGGTTTTAATCCTGTTTAAGGTTCAGGACAACCGTGAGTCAACCTCAACCCAACATGAATATTTCCACTGTATAAGTCTCTACCACTTCTAAATCCTATTTCAGACATCACCAATCCAATGCAGATTTTGCAGTTTGATGCTCAATTCCCATAGAAAAGCTATAATTGATATATCTAATTTTTCATAGCAGATTCCTAGAAACAATCTACGGATCCTACTTTTTACCTTTATTGTGTGTATGTGTGTGTGTGTGTATGTGTGTGTATGTATGTGTGTATGTGTGTGTGTGTGTGTGTATGTATGTAGATATGTATATCTACATACATACACACACACACACACACATATATGTGTATGTTTGGAACGTTTACCTGTATAAGTTATGGTCTATATAAATTTATGGCCACCAATAAGCCTGTGGCAATTATGTTTAAGTGGTTAAAGGGACACTGTAGGCACATTAAACATTTCATCTTGTTGAATCGGTTAAGTTGCCAGCTGTCCCCTGGCACTTCCATTTTGGGTAAAACCATTTTTCGAACAGTTTAAAACTAAATTAGAGACCCTGAGTACCCATTGGAGCAGGGCTATGAACTGTCCCACTTTTGGCATGACAGTCCCAATTTCAGGGTCTTGTATAACCAGAGAACTGTCCCCAACTAGCATTGCATAAGCACATCATAAATAATATTATAAATAATATTATAAAAATAATGTGGTTATACTTATACAACCAAAGTATTTCTTGTTCTCTACAAAATAACAAAACGCAAATAGTGTAACACAGTAAAAATCTAATTTCCCTGCAAATTCCCCATATGGATAAACTAACAAAATATAAGTGTTTCATCCACCCGCTGTTTGAGTGGCACTCAAATTTTGAGAGTTTATGCATGATGGAAGATTTGTGTGGCAATGTGCTTTTTGTGGTGCTACCTTATTTGTGTTTCATTATTTTGTATGGAATAAGAAATACCTGGAATTGCTGAATAAGTGTGCACCTGTAATCTTTTTGAGCACCATATTTATATTATTTTTACAGCTCTCTTTGTTCAGATGTAGATGCCAAGTTCTTATGGTGCTGCATGGAATATTGAATGATCATTTGTTTTTGCACTTCTGGCATGGAACGGTTTATAAATAAAGTAAAAAAAAAAAAGAAAAAGAAAACTGTAGTAATGCTAATATAAATAATGAGAATTTGAGTGGTAACATTCAATTCTGATGCAGTATAATTCTTGGGTCTGAAAGAGGTTCATATGAAATCAATCAAGCAAAGATTCTCCTCACAAAGCAGAATAGGAGACTTTCAGCAAGATTAATCCATGGCCTGGCCAGGCACAATAACGCTTCTAGGTGCACTGTAATACCCACGGTGTATAAATGCTCACGTCTACACGTTATGACCGTTCTGATGTTTATAATCATAGTCACATTTTATATAATCTTAGCAAACATTTACATACCTATGTAATTGTGCATGCACTGCTATAATAAATATGAAACAGGGTTGTTTACTAAAGTAAGAAATCAAAGTGGTTTTCAGATTTAAGGCCAAAGCAGTCAAACTATTCTCCAAGTCAGCTATGCTTTCCTTTCAGCTTCTCTGGCCTTGAATTCTCACTTTAGTAAAAACCCTTGTCACATTTTAAAACTTGTTATCAAACGAACACTTCTGAGCAGGGTGTTCGGATCGGTCAGAGGACCCTCAGCAAGATGAGAGGCAGCAATCCTAGCAAGGCAAAGAATGAAAGAAAGAACAGACATATTACTGGACCTTGGAGAGGCCGGTCGTAACGCACAGAAGGAGCCAGGAAACAACTATACTAAACTAGAGAACCAGAGAGGAACACAAAAAAGCACCCATAAAATAAATAAAACTCTGTACAGGACACGCATTACAGGCTGGTTCAGGAACAGCAAAATGTAGTTAAATAGGCCAAGACCAGGATTACAAACTGGAACAAGTTGATGAACAAACAGGGGAGTCATACAATCCAAGTCTTACGTAGCTGAAAAGAGACATGCATCCATCAAGTTCAGTCTCTCACACATGTTTTTGCTGTTGATCCAAAGGAAGGCAAAAAAAAAAAAAACAGTCTGAAGCACTTACAATGTTGCAACAAACTAGGAAACAAAATGGCAGTCAGATATCTCCTTGGACAAAAAAAATCTATTAACCCACTTATTAGAAATTATATCCCTGTATATTATGTTTTTCCAAGTATTTATCCAACTGCTGTTTAAACATCTGCATGGACTGATAAAAGCACCTCTTCAGGCAGTAAGTCTTATACACAAATACAGAAGATGAAGACTAGTTAAAGGATAAGCCAGGTCACACAGGAACTCAATAATAACTTTACAAGAAAGGTAATAGGGAGGAGTCGGGCAACTATAGGCCAGTAAGCCTTACTTCAGTAGTGGGGAAAGTGATGGAAACCATGTTAAAGGATAGGGTTGATGAACATCTAAAAACACATGGATTTCAAGATCAGAGACAACATGGGTTTACTTCAGGGAGATCATGCCAAACTAATCTTATTGATTTTTTTGATTGGGTAACTAAAATTATAGATCAGGGTGGTGCAGTAGACATTGCTTACCTAGATTTCAGTAAGGCTTTTGACACTGTTGCACATAGAAGGCTTATCAATAAACTGCAATCTTTAAGTTTGGATTCCAATATTGTTGAATGGGTAAGGCAGTGGCTGAGTGACAGGCAACAGAGGGTTGTAGTTAATGGAATATATTCGAAGCTTGGACTTGTCACCAGTGGGGTACCTCAGGGATCTGTACTTGGACCCATTCTCTTTAATATTTTTATTAGTGATATTGCAGAAGGTCTTGAAGGTAAGGTATGTCTTTTTGCTGATGATACTAAGATATGTAACAGGGTTGATGTTCCAGGAGGGATAAGCCAAATGACAAATGATTTAGGTAAACTAGAAAAATGGTCAGAATTGTGGCAACTGACATTTAATGTGGATAAGTGCAAGATAATGCATCTTGGACGTAAAAACCCAAGGGCAGAGTACAGAATATTTGATAGAGTCCTAACCTCAACATATGAGGAAAGGGATTTAGGGGTGATTATTTCTGATGACTTAAAGGTAGGCAGACAATGTAATAGAGCAGCAGGAAATGCTAGCAGAATGCTTGGTTGTATAGGGATAGGTATTAGCAGTAGAAAGAGGGAAGTGCTCATGCCATTGTACAGAACACTGGTGAGACCTCACTTGGAGTATTGTACACAGTACTGGAGACCGTATCTTCAGAAGGATATTGATACCTTAGAGAGGGTTCAGAGAAGGGCTACTAAACTGGTTCATGGATTGCGGGATAAAACTTACCAGGAAAGGTTAAAGGATCTTAACATGTATAGCTTGGAGGAAAGACGAGACAGGGGGGATATGATAGAAACATTTAAATATATAAAGGGAATCAACACAGTAAAGGAGGAGACTATATTTAAAAGAAGAAAAACTACCACAACAAGAGGACATAGTCTTAAATTAGAGGGACAAAGGTTTAAAAATAATATCAGGAAGTATTACTTTACTGAGAGGGTAGTGGATGCATGGAATAGCCTTCCAGCTGAAGTGGTAGAGGTTAACACAGTAAAGGAGTTTAAGCATGCATGGGATAGGCATAAGGCTATCCTAACTATAAGATAAGGCTAGGGACTAATGAAAGTTTTTAGAAAATTGGGCAGACTAGATGGGCCGAATGGTTCTTATCTGCCGTCACATTCTATGTTTCTATGTTTCTAATAAGCTACAAACACACTAAAGAGCTCTGAAACCACAAACAGGCCCAGAGCTGCTAGAGAGTCCTCTTCAAATAGGGAGTTTCTGTACATGATTGACTCTGCTTCCTGGGAGTAATCAGCACAGAAAGGCAACACCTGTGTAATGCACACATGTCCTACAAAATAAACAATAAACGGATTGAGGTAGATGACTAGTAACCAGGTAACTTTCTGGAATCTTTCCAAGTGAGCAGGTTCCCTAGTAACCCTGTGAGCAGTATGCAGAGGCAGAGAGTGGGAAACAAGAGCTCAAATCTTTCTAGAGCCAGTTGGAGAGTAATATCTCCTAAAAACTTTCTGATTTCCTTTTATTTTTTTATTTTTGGTCTGAGGACTTGGCAAATTTCCAAGACCTTTGGATCTAGGGTGATATAACTAAATTTGGTGGCGTCATTTTTTAAACAAAGATTTTTATTTGGTACAACCACGTCATCTTGAGAACAAGGGCTAGAAAATTACATGGAGACCTTTGAAGGTGTCCTAATAGATGTATTGACCTACATAGACATTGGTTTCCTGATTCAGATGAGTTTCTAGCTGGCAAAAAGACCAGGAACTTCAACCCAGGAGTTTTTTTTTATGATCATATATTGACTAAAGCCTTCTCAAAACCACACATTATACCATTCCCAAATCCAAAACCTAAACATGTTCCATAAATCACATTATGATATCCAATGTTTGAACTCTGCTATATAAACCTATATTTATAAACTCCACACTTGCTGTATTAACCCTACAACTGCAGAACAAACCCTAAAATTCTAGCATTTGACATGCACCCACCCCATTACAACCCTGCACCCACTTTAATACCCAAACACTGTACTGTAACATGAAATTCACCTATAGTGTATTAAATTGTCACTGTCACAAATAATGCAATTGAATTTGGTAGTTCTTTAAAGGGACACTATAGCCACCAGAACAACAACAGCTTAAGGATGTTGTTCTGGTGAGTATAATAGTTTCCTTCAGGCTGTTTTTTATGTGTTTACATTGCCTCTAGGGACACCTCCAAGTGACCACTCCTCAGATGGCCACTGGAGGTGCTTCCTGGGTCAGTGCTGCTGAAAAAACAGCCCTGATGTTCAGCGTCCCCACGCTCTGCATGGAGACGCTGAATTTTCCTCATAGAGATGCATTGATTCAATGCATCTCTATAAGAGGTCCTGATTGGCCAAAATGGCATTTGGCCCTGCCCCTGTGTCGATTTTAGCCAATCCAATGCTTTCCCTATGGGAAAACATTGGATTTGCTAAAAATCAGCCATTTTAATGATGTCACAAAGGCGACCAAGCCAGCTCTGGCAGACCCGGGCAGCACTGGAAATAAGGTGAGTTTTAAATTTGTGTAGGGGGATAAGAGAGAGAAAGTCACCTAATTGGTGGATTAAACACTATTGGGTCAGGAATACATGTTTGTGTTGCTGACCCTATAGTGTTCCTTTAACAATATTACAACTGACTTGGGGCTTGTAAAAGCTAGTCAAAGTCAGACCCAGTATTTTTGGACCCCACTCAGGGCTCTGGCCCACG